CCTGAGCGGAAACCCTCTATCAGGGGTGAGACTCACCAGTAAAATCTTAAATGGAAAAATGGGTCTAATGATATCTTATTTTGAAGGTATTTTTACCTAGATAATAACCCCCAAATTTTACATCGCTAATATTTATGTAGCCCATACATTGACTCACCAAAAGTACAAAACCGATTTAACATAATGTTTACGTTGTTTAAAAAAAAATGAATTTTTTTGTAACAATTCTAGTTTTATTCCTGTGGCTTTCAATTATTGTTATCAGATGACATTCTTTGGTCGCCGTAAAATAGTTAGGTTTAGTTTATTTCGTTGTAGAGTCGGCATAAAAGTGGCATATCAGTGATAATGGTTTACTCAATTGCTGAGAGGGTGCAAATAATTTTACTTTTTTTACGAACAAGGAATCTGCTAATAGAATTGCCCAACTGTTTAACAATCAACATCAAAATCGACAAATCCATCGAAAGTATATTTTGGAGTTAGCCCAAATATTTTGGGAAACGGGGTCAGTAGCTAACAAATAACGTTAAATGGAAAATGCTTTAATTAATGAAGCTGCAGAGGTGGCGATTTTGAGGCATATTGTTCAAGAACCTACATTGAGTACAAGACAGTTGGTATTAAGAGAAGTAGGATTCAGAAGATATTGAAAAAACACAAGTTTCATCCCTACAAAATACATCTGGTAAAAGAACTTTTGGGTTGGCATTTTTGGTAACCGTATAATTGGCCCCTTTTTTTACCTGAAACTTTAACAGGCGAAATGTATCTGGAATTATTAGAAAACGACATTTATCCAGCATTACTAGAGTTGATTGAGAATAACGATCTGTACATAGCATTCATTAGTATTTTTATAAAACGTTTCCAGATCAATGGATCGGAAGAAGAGGAAGTATTGAGTGACCCCCACGGTCTCCGGATTTAAGCGCGTTAGATTTTTTATGGGGCTACTTAAAAAACTAAAATTTATGCCACCCAGCCAACATCACTGAAAAATCTGCGACAACGGATAATTGATAAATGTCATCAAATCACCCCACAGATGCTCCAAAATGTCCAAAAGCGTTTTAAACAAAACCTCTAATATTGCATGGAGGCCCAGGGTCAGCATTTCCAGCATTTACTCGAGTAACTGGTAAGATTTTACAGGAAATAAAAATCGTTAAAATATTATGGCTAGGAAGACAGTAGCGATTTAAAACTCGGGGGTTATAATCTATGTAAAAATACCTTCAAAATAAGCTATCATTCGAGACCCCTCTTTCCCTTTAAGATTTTAGAGGTAAGGTTATTCAGGGGGTGAAACTAGCAAAAAAATATTTCCCCCTAAAATGAAAAATTGAGGGTTCAAGCGTTTTCTCGTAAATGACCTGGGGTGTCCAAAATTGGATCTGTTTTGTTTTCAAATGGCCACCCTGTACATATACAATACTCTATTATAAGTGTACAGTTCATCAAATTTCTGGAGGCTTTCGACGGCTAGACAGAGAAAGCACTACTGACAGGCATCCCGACGGATTTACGCAATGAAAGTACACTCTGCGCATCAAGTATTTCACTATTTCATTCAGACGTAAATGTCAGATGTAAATTTCGCTAAAACATTTCTTTTATTTTCGTTTGTGTTTTTTGCTCATTACAGTTTAATAGAACCTAAGTATGGAGTTTAATAGCAAATTAAGAGGCCGCGTGATTAACAGTCAATCTCGCGAAATAATAGCCAATGTTATAGAGTTTATGAGAAGAGAAGGAAACTTTAATTCACCTTCAATACCATTTAAAAATGTAAATGATCGTGTTGCTGCAGCCACAGGAGTATCTAAAAACACTGTCGTCCGCATTTCTGGAGAGAAAAAAAGAATCGATAACCGTGAGATATCGGAATTTTCATCACCAAGAAAAACCATTAAAAAACCAAAAACAGTTAATGATATAGATGAAGCTGCACAAGAATCAAATTTTATTTTTTTATTATTAGATAGCTATTTTTGTTTCTGAGTTGTGTTCATTTACAGGCTCAATTTTTTTCCGTTTCTCCTTTTTGATTTTATATGGGGTTTCAAGTTGTTTTTGACTTATTTCGACGTAAATCACAACAACACACTTTTTTAATAAAGCAAACAAGTGTTAAGAGGTATATGTACGTGTAAACCACAATTACAAAAAATTGATACGAAACCCATGAAACCACCAACAAAAATGTAAAGCTAGCTTCCGTACTAGAACATGGTGTCATTCGTCGAAATAATTTATCGTTTTGTTTAATAGATCAAGAAATGTAAATATTCCCCTGTTATTTTTTATAAAATTATAAGAGAAATAAATTTTTTTCTAAATAGTATAGTTTATTATTTTGTAGAAAAACAAAATTTCGAAAATTTTAGTAATGTTTCAGAAACAACCGTTATTAATAATAGGTACCATTTTCCTTAATAAGGTAGAAATAAAATATAAACTATTTCCACGATTTACAAAGGCCTACAAAAAAATTATAGGTATTTTCCGCTATCCTATAAAATTTATATTTTCTGACTCAATTTCAAAAGGTTGAAGGAATTCCAAAACACCTTTTATGGCATAATAATTATTTTCAATTCTACATACTATCTTTAGCTGCTTTTAAAAACGTTCCAAGAAAGTCCAATCAGACCAATTTAATCCCTAAACTATTCCACACTTTTAAAATTTAATTACCTAAAAATATTAAAAACTATTTAAAATAACTTGTTTAGCAGACTGTACAATAGCTATCTTAGTCACACGTAGCGCGTTCTCTGTCTGGGCGTCGAACACCTCTAGAAATTTGATGAACATTAAAAAATCATCAAAAATCTCTTTCTCTCTCTCTATGATAGTTAATAAATGTTTTATATTGTTTTTTATTTTTTTATTAAAATTAACAGAAAAATTAAAAAACATTAAATTACCTAGTAACACAAAATTAGTATCGTTCGATGTAACAAACTTATTTCCTAGTATACCTCCTAAAGAAACAGTTAAGCTAGTAGAAAACTTATTAGATCGTAATCAAGTCAATATTATAATCAAAGAAGAAATCCTAAATTTGTTAAACATTTGCCTAAAACAAAATTATTTTCAATTTCAAAATAACATCTACTCAGCAAATGAAGGTCTTATTATGGGGAACCCATTAAGCCCGTTGCTTGCAGAAATATTTATGGATAATATAGAAAATAAAATTCATAGCGATAATTTAAGTAAACATTGTCTGTATTGGCATAGATATGTTGATGATATATTGACTGCTTTTACTGGTACTAGTAGACAGTTAAATTCTTTATTAGTTTTTATCAATACTATACACCCTAATATTAAATTTACTATGGAAACAGAGAAGGATAATTCAATTAATTTTTTAGACTTAAATATTATTAAAAATAATAAAGGCCATAGTTTTGGGATATTTCATAAGCCATCACATACGGATATTACAATAAATAATAGTTCATCTCATCCATACAAACAAAAGCTGGCAGCATACAACAGTATGATCCATAGATTAGTTAATATTCCCCTTACCAAAGAGAACTTCACAAAAGAATTAAATATCATTAAACAAATCGCAGTAAATAATAATTTTAATTCAAAGTTAGTAGACAACATTTTAGAGAAAAAACTTTTTAAACAGGCTATTCAACAAGTTTATCCCATAATTAAAGATCCAAATTGCAGATATAAGAGTCTTACATATATAGGAGCTCCTAGTGAAAAGGTATCATCATATTTAAAAAACCAAAATATTAACGTAGCTTTTAAAACCAATAATACGCTTGGGAAGTATATTAAAAACAATAAGGATAAAATTAATCCTAATAATAAATCGGGGGTATATAAATTAAATTGTGGTAGTTGTCCAAAATTGTATATTGGTCAAACAGGCCGTACTTTCAAAAAACGAACGCTATTCCGAACATTATAATAGCTATACAAAAAACAAAAATAATTCTACTTACTCAAATCATATTTTAGCTGAAAATCATTCTTTTACAGACAACTTTGAAATTTTACATGTAGAAAATAAGAGCCTTAAATTAAACCATTTAGAAACACTTGAAATAAATAGATTTAAAAATTCAGATAACTTACTAAATGATCAATTAGATATTAATAATTCACCCTTATTAAATCTCTTTCCCAGTTTTCTGTGAGATAATCCCGGTAATGGGCTATCTTATTGTTATTTGATGGATATTATAATTACCTAAGTACCCTTATTTACTTTAAATAGTTAGTTTATTTTGTAATGTTATTGATGTTTTCTTAAGTACTTTGTTTTGTTAAATTATTTCGTATATATATTGGATACCGAATTGTAAATAGTCACATTTGAAAAAGAAGTTGTACTTCGAAACATATGTCATGTTAGTGTTTTTTTTTTAAATTTTTATTTTTAAAATAAAAGTGTGAAAATCTACCAAATTTGGTTTTACTCTTTAAAATTAATGTGTCTCGACTACTCTGGCCATTGACACATTTACAATTATTTAGATACTATAATGTAACCTACAACTAAGGATTCATTTAAACTAAAAAATAACAACTACATAAAATGGAACAAATGAGATTTTTTTTAAAAAATGTATGAGTGAGTAACTGATCAGGTTTCTTCTTATTTCGTTGGTACTCTAGCACTGCAGCTCTACTGAATACCAGTGGTGGCTGCACCGAGCATATAGAGTTGCCAGATGCCTTTAGCCTATCCAGCAATTGGACATTTGACAATACCTTTTTTTTGTTAAGAAAATATTTATAAAACCGGTGAGGCCTTTAATTGAGGTGTGGAGGGTGGGGTGGTGATAGCCCCCATTTCCAGTATAGAGGCCGGGCACCCAAAGCAATTTTTGAGTTCCGGCGCCTATGTTCATTATAACAGATTTTTTTTGTAATGTAAATTTTTTTCTTAAGGGAGAAGAAGAAAAAATGAAAGGCAAAGACAGAGCAGAAAAATAAGAATGAATATAAAGTAATCTTACTTGTGGCCATTCACTTAAATCTCCATCCAAAGGCGATGCTCCATTAGAGCATCTACAGTTCGATTCGATTTTGCAGGTATTCTCATCACACCCTTGGGCTTGCGCAGACACCAAAGCAATTGCTTGGATTGCCAAACATAAAACTGCGAAAAATTTCATTTTGAAAACTAAAAGTAATCGAATTTTGCTATCAGTTTTATATAGAATAGACGAGTACCTAATTTTTTTACAATTTCCTTTTGTATCTTATCAATACGGATAGAAAAAAAACGACATAAGTGAGTACGTCAGAATTATCAAAAATGTAACTAAGCTAGGATGCGAGTCAAACCATAGGCCCTGTTCTATTTTTTACTTGCAAAAATTTGCAACAAAAAAAAAACGTTGTCAAGATTTTATTAAGAGCGGAAATTTCTTCAAAAATGATTAAACTAAGTACAAAATACACTGACACTGTTCATTAACCTATGTTATTTTACAAAAATTAAAAATAAACATTACGTTTTAATTTTTCTATAAAAAAAAATGTATCTTAAGTTTATGGCTTCATCTATGTCCTATCATTCGTGCATTTTACTTCGTCTTTTCGCAATTGGTCCATGTATTTGTAGAGGGAATCTTGGCTCTCGGAAGATAGTTGGCTCTCGGTCTCAGATTGTACACATTTCTCGTTAATAAAATAGTCCAGTAGCTCTTCGCCATCGTTAGATTCGTTTTCCGCACAACCGTCTGTTTTCATCATATTTTCAAACATAACGCAAGCTCTGTTTAAGATTCTGGAAGAAAATCCGTTTTTGTACCCGTTGGAATCGCCAGCTCCGTTGGTTGTAGCGTCGTTCTTTACTCCGTTCTTCATTTTGAAACCATTCATACCCCCACTGCCCAACAGAGGTTTCAGTATAGCTGGTTGGAAGCCGCTCTTCACTTTCGGAGCTTCAGGAGCTGTTGGCAGCTTTGGAGCAGCTTCTACAACAGTCTTTTCTTTATTAACGCTTTTAGGTTTCTTTTCACTAGCACCAAGCACCACTTTCAAAGGCTTCTTACAGTTAGCGGACTTGACTGAGAGCTTACTGTTACTTTGTACCTCTTCTAATTTGTGCTTCAGCTCCTCATTGACTTTCTCCATAGATTTGCGCTTTTGGATCTCCGATTGTAGCTTGATGTTCAATTCGGATATCATGTTTCTTGGTATCGATTTTGAAATGTTGTCTAATGTCTTAGATTTTCTGACCATTGGTAATAAATTGGATCCGGACCCGGAAAAATTGTTTTTAGTTGGAGCCGATTTGGTTTTGTGTATTGTTGTGCCCATTGAAAAAGTGGAACCGCTTATGGAATCTAAAGTTAGAGTCACAGCAGTGTTGCACCATTGGAATTCGGGTTTGTAACCCATCTGTTGCTTATCACGCAAAACCTGCAAGAGCTTTTCTAGAGTTTCCAAGGTTAGATAATCGTTTTGTCTCAAATCAACAATTTCTAAAGATCGATTGTAATTAACAATATCGATTATTTTTTTACTCAGATTTTCTGTAATCCCGCATTTTTGCATGTCGAGAGCTTTCAGCCATAGATCGTCTTCTAATTCGTTTAGAATGAAATCGAAACCATCGTCTCCGAAATTGGGATTGGCGTTCATGGTGATTCTTTTGAGCCCTCTCATCTTACCTTGCTCTGGATCAGCATATCTCAAAGAGTTGTGCCAGCTTTCGCAATATCTATTGATCTGTTGGTGTTTGATCAATTTGGCTAAGTGTTCACCGCTTTCGGTCATTAAATCGCATCCAGACAGATTGATGACTTCAATATTTGGAGCAAAGCGAAGACATCTACATAGCATGTTGCAGCCTTGATCTTTGATGGAGCTATTAGCGAACGAAAGATGTTTGATTGTTTTATTTTTTTTGAGCGCTTGAAGGAGCGATTCCATATACTCGCAGAATAAAGGGATGCCGTCGAGCTCGAGGTAGGTTAATACTTCTGTGTTTTTTAATGTACTGGATAAGGATTTGGTGAGCTGATGCAGCACGTAGGCTGTCCACAGGGAGCCGAAGCGTCTCTTCATTTGCTTGGCTTTTTCCTCGGTGTCGATGTTGTGTAGGAATTCGCAATTACCTAGTCTGCTTTTGATGCTGATGACGTGAAGGCTGTTGTCGTGCCGTAGTGCATTTACGATGGGCGTCCATTCCTCCACCCTCAAGCGATCTCCGACGAACTCCAGGATGGTCTGGCACTTGGGTTTGGCAGGTTTGACAGCCGGAGCTGGCGTGAAATTCATTCGACGACATAGTTCGGTGTACCACACGTAGAAAATGTTCACAGGTTTTGGACAATTTGTATTTACCTTGGTTGATGGCGAAGATTCCATGCTACAATTAATTGATTTAGAAACCGTTTTCATTCAACAATTAAACATATTTAACAAGGTTGTAAAATTACACACATGAAAAAAATGTGTCAAAAGGACAAATCAATTGACAAATAATTACGTCTACTTAAAATACTTGCTAAATAATATACGATGTGCTTCAATTATTTTGTTCTTAAGTCTCAATTTGAGGGTAATTTTAAAAGAACAAACGAGTTACCAGCCAAATAAGAAGAACTTAGTAAATGATTGATGGTCCTATAATATAGATCTTACTTTCCATATCAAATGTCTACATCTACTTTACACAGCCTACAAGATTGTTGGAGTAATATATAGGACCTATATATTACTCCAACAATCTTGTAGGCTGTGTAAAGTAGATGTAGACATTTTCTTATTATGGAGTCCTTTTAAAAGCTATCTTTGCTAGTATTATTAACCGACTTCAAAAAAGGAAGAGGTTCTCAATTCGTCGTAATATTTTTTTTTATGTATGTTCAGCGATAATTCTTTAACACGAGGTCCGATTTCAATGAGGGGCTACTTCAGGGATGGCCCTATATTAATTTGGTCAAAATCTAATAATTAGGTCCATTAGAAAATCCTTAAATTCTTCATTTTTAATGTATATTTAGCGTTAATTCTTTACCACCTTGTCCAATTTTTAGGATTCTTTTTTTGTTAGTAAGAGGGTACCTCAGGGGTGGTTCTATATAAATTTGGTCAAAACCTAAAAAATAGTTCCATGAGAAAAATCCTCAAACTCTTCATTTTTTATGTGTGTTTAGCGATAATTCTTTATCACCTTGTCCGATTTCTAAGATTTTTGTTAGTAAGGGGGTACCTCAGGGGTGGTCAGTTTTTTAAAATTACTTTTAGTACTTGTAATATTTATTAGTGTTTCGTAAGGGTAAACTATAGATTACTGGGATAAAAATAGGATAACTTAATCCAACTTACATACAGGGTGGGAACTTTAACTGGCGCAAATTCGCTACAGCTTCAGGTTGAAAAATGCGGATAAAAGGGTCCGGTACGCTTTAAGTACGTCGGAATTTGAAAAAAAAAATTGAACAATAAAAAGTATTCATTTTATATAGTAAATTAAAAACAAAAAAAATGCGGATAATCAACTATTTTTTGAGAAAAATTTAACCAAAGTTACAATATTTTGACGTTTCTTACCTAAGATTTTCCAATTTCTATGGCAGTGTTGCCAAGAGATTCAGTTAGTAACAAGATGTCCTTTTATTTTAAACACGATTTAAATAAAAAAAAATTAAATAATAAGTTTATATTTTGTAATTCTAAAAAAATACATTCGAAATAAATGAAAAAAAAAAAAAATAATTCTAAAAAAACTACTAAAATAAATTAACTACAACTAAAAATTAATATTTTTCACTAATTTGAATTAATAAATTTTTCATTTTATGTTTTGAAGTTTTTCCATAAATTTCCTCCCACATAAACTGGTCGATATATTCAGGTAGAAAGGGACTGGACATTACGCCTAAACGTCGTAAATACTGTTTAAGTATACTAAATTGTTCAAGTTGGTTTCGTACCTGAGATGATGGTGGCTGATTGGGTTCACTATTATACTTGCCCATTTCAGCGTCATATAATCGGTTGTGGATTAAATGTTCTACGGTGGACTGGGCATAGGGTGTGAGAGACCTCTCAGTTTTTGAGCTACCAATTCACCTATTATGTCAAATTTATCTGGCTTATTTTGTGATCTTCCTTGACGATCCTTATTTAATGATGTCACTATGTTGTAGATTTATTTATTTATTTATTTGTCTTAAGTACACTACAGAAATATGAATTCCAAATGGCACAGTCTTAAAGCTAAAACAACAATTAAAGTATAAGTATATACATATAAAAAAAAACCGAATATATAAATATCAAAACTCTTCAGAAATTTTAAAATACATTTAACGTCTAAAAAACAAAGTCTAACACCATACAAGACAAGAAAACAACCTAAAATTTTAAAATTCGAGCATCCTCTTAACAGATAATAACGTACAATTAAAAATATCACAGTGAGAATAGTGCTTATTATAGTTGCACAAAAGCCTATTCATGAAAGCTCTTTGTCCATAGTTTGTACGATGAGTTTTCTCAAAGAATAGTTGTGACTGTCGAGTATGCCTTAACGGAACAACGAAATTTACTTGGCATAACAATTTTTTACAAATAATGTCTCCATTAATTATTTTGTAGAGCAAAAGTAACATTGCATCCCTGCGTCTCCGTTCAAGAGTTTGCATACCACAGAGTAGCAGTCTCGTTTCATACGATAAATCCCGTTATGGAAAGTGAAACTTAAATAGCAAATATTTACAAAATTTGTTTTGAACTCGTTCAATTCGGTTGACATAAATAGCTTGTGACGGAGACCAAACAGTACTGCAATACTCTAAAATACTTCGGATCAAACCACTGTACAAACATGTTATTGCTTTAGTGTCTTGTATATGCTTTGTGCTTCTTTTTATGAATCCTAATAGCCTAAACGCCGTCAGAATGATAGTATCAACATGTAAAGAAAAGGATAATTCCCTGTCGAATATTACCCCTAAATCATTAAATGTGGAGACGCTCTCCAGCGTAGTATTATTAATAATGTATGAGTTTTCGACGGGGTTAGAACGTCTGTAAAATGATATAACTTTACATTTTGATATGTTTAGTTCTAAATAGTTAGAACTGCACCAAGAAACAAATTGATCTAAATCAGACTGTAGGGCGTTATAATTAGGTTCCACAATATTAAAAAATTTTAAATCGTCAGCATATAAGAGACAATGAGAATTTTTAAAACAGGACACTACATCATTTATAAATAACAAAAATAAAATAGGGCCAATATGTGAACCCTTGGGTACACCCGAAGACACTGTCACTTCCCGCGACACAGAACCATTCACTGTAACACGCTGCCGACGGTTAATAAGATAGGATTTAATCCACTTAAGGTAATTGCCTGTTATCCCAATTTCAGGTAGTTTCTTTAAAAGTAACTGCTGACATACACTATCGAACGCCTTAAAGAGGTCGGTATTAATTGTATCAACTTGGTAACCAGCTTCAACCGAAGAGGTAATAAACTCCTGATAAATAGCCACATTAGTAGTTGTTGAACGACCTCTGTAGAAGCCATGCTGCTCATCTATTATGTAATTCTTAAACGTGTAAAATAATTCATCTGTTAAGATTGATTCCAACAGCTTAGGAATTGCTGATAGCATAGAAATGCCTCGATAATTTTTTATGTCTGATTTATCCCCGGACTTAAAAATTTGAACCAAGTTAGAATATTTCCATCTGGACGGGACATATCCTCTGTCGAATGATCTCTGGAAAATTGTGCACAGTGGTGCAGATAAAGCAGGGCACTTCTTGAGAAGGATAGGTGGTATTCCATCTGGACCAGAACCTTTGGAAGGATCGAGATCCAACATTTTCTTCTTTATTTCATCTTCTTTAAAGATGTGAAATGAGAAATGGGAACCAAATTTGACTGATTCCAAGTGATTTAAGTCAAGAGTGCTGTGGTTACTGTAGCAAGACTCAAAATATAGTGCAAAAGTATCAGCGATAGATGAAGGTGTTTTTAAAGTATCATTGTTGTATTTCATGATAGACGGCATATGTTCTGTATGTTTTAGGCTATTAATAAATGTCCAAAAATATTTTACATTTTCAGGAATTACATGTTCAATATTGCTAACAAAAGTAAGGTAGCATAGATCAATGCGATATTTTACCTCACGTCGAATGTCGGAATATGTTTTGTAGTCTGAAGCATATCCAGTCCTTTTAAATTTATTATATGCTCTGTTTTTTCCAGATATTAGTTTTCTCAGAGGGCCATCATACCATTTTGGATATTTTTGGTTTTTTATTTTTCTTTTAGGAACATATAAGTCAATGGCCTTAAAAAGGTGTTTATAAAACATATTCACCATTACATCGAGATCGACAGTACTGTATAAAAAAGACCAATCAGTTTGTTCCAAATATAAGTTAAGTTTAGTAAAATCTGCCTGAGGATACTGATATATCAATAGCTCATGATTAATTATCAAAGGGCCAGTGAAACTAAAATTATTTATTATTATTATTTATTTCTACGCTCCGAAAGTCAGACTTGTTTATCTTAGCTCTTTCAAAAGTTTCTTTAGTGTCATTCATTTTAAATTTTTCCTTTGCTACCACAGAAGATGTAAGTTTGACATCAGTCACCAAATCAGTATGTTCTGCGTCCATATTCTCTCTTGTTTCAATATTGGTTAACTGTTGACTATCACTTGGTATATTATCAGTGTCATCTGGTTCAGTTTCATCTAGTGTAGATAGTGATGAGTCAGATTCCTAGAAAAAAAAATTAAATTAAATTTTCTAGTTAAATTCTTTACAAACACGTAATTTTTTTTCCTACGACCACTTAGGAAAGTGACACATATCACACTATATAGTCCTATGGAAAGTGCCCTATATCACACGCGTATGAATAAGAATTTACTTTCCACCCGAGTGAGAATATGTTACTTTCCGCAATAGTTGTCACAAAATGTCAAACACCTAATTTCTATTTTGATCTATGTAATGTCCATTTTAATACTAAAATCGATATGATTGTTAAATTATTGAAATCGTTGTAAGTTAGATCCTAGATATTTATCTTTAACAATTATTATTAAAATAATTTTAAAATGTTTGCTCTTTATTCTGGTTAAATACATACCCGATTAGATCATTCAATTGACACAAGGGCTATTAACCCCCAGGTGGTTATGACGTCGAACTTATCAAATTTGCCATTTTTCGACCGCGTTCGAATCCTGGCGGGGCAGATTTTTTTTTTGTTTTTTTTTTATTTTTTTTTAGTTTTTTTTTTGTTTAGAAAATATGAAAATTGAATTAATACGATTATTGTTGATTATTTTTTTAAATACATTTTAATTATTATAGTAATAATAACCTTGGTTTTACATTTTTTTGATGACATTATTTTGTGGTAGTAGGAAAAATATTGTACATCACTTGTGTGAAAAATGTCACTTTCCACACTCGTAATGTAATATACTATTTCAGACTCCTACAAATGAAGCCGAATGGAAAAAGATTAGTGATGATTATGAGAAGATTTGGAATTTTCCTCACTGCCTTGGTGCCATGGATGGCAAGCATGTAGTTATAGAAGCCCCCATACATACCGGTAGTGAGTTCTAT